TTGTTCAAAATAGCAAAAAAAAAAAAAAAAAAAAAAAAACAGGATGGGGAGGCAGGCTAGAGCTGCAGAAAATTTGGTTAATATAATTAAGACATGTATGCAAAAACGTCTAGCCTAGTAACTGACTCATAGAAGAGGCACTAAAAAATGCTCGAAATCATGATGATGTCATTGAAGACACCTCCTCTTACATTCTTTCAAGTTAGAATATCATATTACATATGATCTCCTTCTTATTTTTAAATGGCTTTTAGAAATATAAGTTAATTTTTATTAAAGACTGATACCTAGGACAGGAGTTACTTAACTCTAGGTTTAGACCAAGCCCTTGCGTTTCTTTTTAACCAAAGGTATCATTCTAAGGAACCAATCCATTTCTCTCCTTTAGAAAGGATGGTTTTGATGTTTTCAAGTGTGAGAAAAGATTTCCAAGTATCATCTATAAGAAAATCTCTGAATCATGTTAAAATGATATAAAACATTTATGTTTCCTTATAAGGAGATAAGGTATTTTATTATACCATGTTTAAAAAGAAAAGTCACAGTGGTATAAGAACAAAAGCAAAATAACATAAAACTAATTTTTTAGTTATCATAGACTCTGAGAGCTACAAGGACCTTACGTGGGTCAATGCTCTGGGTTAAACATTTCTATTCTGAAATATAAAGCAAGCTGCTGTGTGAAAAGACTTCCAAGAACAATGCATAGTTACTTTCTCTTTTCTAATTGTGAAATTAAATTGAAATAATGAAATTAAGCTTGCTTAGTCTGTTCTCTCTTCTGAAAATAATTAGAACTGATCAGTTACACTTTAACTCCTCCCTTCCCAAATTTTTAACAATTTCTTAGACCTTTTTCCTCTTGGAAAATTTGGTGTTCTATTTCCTTAAAGGATGCTCTCAAAAAAATAGGAAAGGTTTTGGGTACTTTGTGCTAACAATGATTTTTCCCAATTTAACAGTAACTGACACAGCTCAATTACAATTAAGAAGTGAATTTAATGATATAAAGTATATCCACATTATACACAGCAATTAGAGAATTAGAAATTTGGTATTAGGACCCTGATATAAAATGGTTGGCATTTCATTAAATCCTCATAATAAAATTTCGATTGGGAATAACTTTTACTCTTTAAGTGCCTTGAGTTTCATGCTATTAATTATGTATTACATATATGTATATATTTTTAGTTGGTAAATTAAGGGCCAAAAATCCTCTCTAAGAAATATGTAATGACACATCTTCAAAATAAAGCACAGATAAAGATGCCATAGACTAGAGAAATCAAAAATAAATAAATATAAACATTAAAATTCTGTATAATTATACCATAACAAATCAACTGAGGGCCAGTCGCGGTGGCTCATGCCTGTTAATTCCAGCACTTTGGGAGGCTTTGGTGGGTGGATCATGAGATTGGGAGATTGAAACCATCCTGGGAAACATGGCGAAACCCTGTCTCTACTGAAATAAAAAAATTAGCTGCGTGTGGTGACAGGCACCTGTAATCCCAGCTACTATGGAGGCCAAGGCAGGGGAATTGCTTGAACCTGGGAGGTGGTGGTTGCAGTGAGTCGAGATCACACCACTGTGCTCCAGCCTGATAACAGAGCAAGACTCCTTCAAATGGGAAAAAAAAAGAGCTGAGATGAAAAAGCTGTTCTCTCTCATTTACTGAGAATAAAATTGCAGAGAAAAGATTCCAGCTAAGCTTTAGGAGATGAAGAATAGAAATAAGAACTAGGTCTTTTATGTGTTTCTCTTATGGGCAAAGTGCTTAATGAACATTGTTGCTAGTTTTCAAGGCAACTCTACAATGCAAAGTATTATTTTTTCGATTTATAGAATAATAAACATTATCTCAGAAAGATTTAAAGACTTGTCCTGAGTCACATACCCAGTAAGTGGCAGGGCAAAATAATTAAACACAAGGGTTTCTAAATTATTACTTTAATATTTTGAAGTCCATGATTGTTTAACTTTATCCTCTGAGCTCTAGGATGAAAAGGTGAAGGTTCTCAATTTTACTAGACGGAATCAAAAACATTAACAAAGATTTGACTTAGAGACAAGGAACACTAGGATCATTTAAGTCAAGACAATAATTACTTGCAAGATATGATTGTATCTGATGGCTGTTGGAAAAAAATCAATAAGCAAGAACAGCACAAAACTTACGAGATGCAATCTTTTCTTGGTACTAAAAGATCTCCTGCAACTCCTTTAAAAGTGGAACAGTGGGTAAAGTAGCAACCCATTGGCAAACACCAAGATCTAGCCATGTTTCCACATCTGCTTGAAGCCTCAACCCTCACATAAAATATTTGTACCAAACCCCTGTATAAATGGATGAGTTTTCTCAAAAACGAAGGTGATCAGCCTAGAGATGGGAATGCCCCAAGGATCTTTCTACCTTCCCTTGACTGAGAATCTCAACACTCCCAGAAATTCATTGGCAACCCAGTTTTTTGGGGTGGTGCACCCTAAAGAAATGAAAACAATAAATTGTAATGTGAATAGAAGAACGTGGTATAGGAGGTGATGGAAATCACTGGACTTCCTGGGGGTTATGAGTAAGACCCAATCAAAGGAAGAGGAGAAAATGAGGATGAATAAGTACAAAACAACTGCTTATTCTTCAGCTGTGCTTGATTTAGGAAAATGGTGCATTTAGTGCCCTGTTAATAATTTGAAATATTACCATACCAGGTTCATAATGGAGTTTCCTAAGTAGTAACCATTCTTATTAATAGCATTAGTGTTATTATACATTTCAATATCTGTCAGTTTTTATACATTCATATTTTAATTATGTTGTCTGATCTGTCTCCAGTTCAAGCAAACATTGTGAATTTTCCTGATTAAAAGCAAATATTTTTCTTCTTTTCTCAAGGAAATTCTGGACCAAAAGGCCAGAAAGGGGAAAAGGGGAGTGGAAACACACTAGGTAAGTATATAGTATTTTGTTTTCTGTGTGAATTCTTGTAATAAATATCTATGATACAAGAGATCTAGGCTTGAGGCAAAGGTTGGGAACTTCAGCACAGATCCATAGAGACTCTATGGAAGCCAACCACAATTTTCTAAAAATAAGCATACTAATTGGGTAAAACAAATAGATTTTATTATACAGCGCTTTCAATCTCATTATCCATTTGTCTTGACTTTTTGTGATGAGCACTATTTTCTAAAAATTCCTCATAGAAAATTGTTCAATTTTCAAGTCAATTTCTATCCACTGAGGGAAAATCAAGCTTATGAATAGAAACCATTACAAACTCCTTCCTTACAAAATGAAACCTTAAATAGAATTTGGACAGTTTAATTCTATTTAAACCTTAAACAGAATTTTAACCCTGAAAAATTAACTCTCTGATGGCTGGGGCTTTTTGTTTTGTTTATTTTACTAAAAACTTGAAAAGCAGTATTCCATGTTCTAAACCTTCACACCTGAAACAGAATAGATTTCACAAGAAGAACATTTGTCAGTTGAATACCAACCTCATGTTGCAGTATACAGAATCTGTTAATTGGACCTTAAAAACTAAACATTAGATGGGATGTCTTCTATTTGCCGTGCTGTAAGTTTATTATGTCTAGGCTGAAGATATACTGACATCATGAAGGGATTATGAAGAGGAATGTGGAATCCCCACTAAACTTCTCAGAATCAAAAGGCTCCTCCATTTGTAATCCCAATAGGAACTACATGCGATGTGTGTGTGTGTCTGTATGTCCATGGGATAGCTGATAGAAACAGGGTGATCATATTTAATCATCAGGGTTCTGTTTTCAACAGATAATGGCAAATCCTTTTATGTACCAAAATCCAGCAAGTTTGAGTTATAATCATTAGCTAGAAATATACACTACCAATTTCTCTGCCTTACAAAACCTAATTATTTTAACCTAATTTTGTGTACAGATGCCGTATTTAGACAAAGTAGGACATTGTCGTGAATACCAGCCATTAGAGTAGTCATTGGTGTAATCATGATACTTTCAAAGTACAACAGAGTATTGTGTGCCTTCTGAGTACTTTAGTGTTACTTAATGACTTTATTATTATTATATTAACATAATAGTAACATTCGTGTATCTTTTCTCCTTTGTGTCCATTTGTTCTTTAACGTGGTCACTTTTGCCTGCTATATACTTTTTACTCTACTTTTTCTCCTTTTCACTCATTGACTTTCAGTTAAGCTCCTCTTGTGACACTCTCCTCCCTGTCGTTTTATCTTCATCTTTATCTCTTGCCTTTATCTTTTGTTTTTCTTTATCTTCTTTTCTTGAGGCTTTTTCTGAGCTTCTTAACATTGACTCTAGTCAAGTTTTGCAAATAAGAAACATTTCTTTTTTATTTTTAGTGTGCAAACAGCACCCAGCTGTCTTCTGTTACCTACGGTTATCAAATGCTTTGAACATTTTCTTCAGATATGTTCAGAAATGTTTTCAGTTACAGATATTTTCATGGCTGTTTTGGAGTTTATGCACATACTTTCTTTGAGAAAGCAGTAAGAGAGGTGTTTCCGTGTATACGTATATACAGCCTCTGAATTCTCCACCATGCCCTCCCTTCTTATGTAGAGTATATTACAACTGCATAATGCTTAAAAAAGAGAGAAAGAATGATATACATAAGCATCTAATGTGGTATATTCTGCTTTTTGCTTACGTCAGTATGTCAGTCATCGGTTCGCATCATTGTATATGACTCTACCTATTTTCTCTCAAGGGCTATACATTATTCTATTACTCAGCTGTATATTATTACCATAATATAGTCATTCACTCCTCTAGTCCTGAACACTAAATGATTTTTGTTTGCTTTGGAAAGGCTTTAATAAACAATGCTACGTTCAGCATTCTCACATACACTCTTGAAGGAATACTTTTTAATAGGGAATTTGCTAGAAGTAGAATCAATGGTTCAAAGGTTATTTATCATTTTACATTCTTGTAAATGGCTGCTAAAAGGTTGTACCAACTTATTCTGTATGAAAGTGCCTGATTCCCCACATCTTTAGTTAATTCTGCTATGTGAAAATTTATGTTGAATTTTAATATGCATTTAAAAAATTCTTTAGGCTTCTTTAAATATGATAAAAATAATAATTAATTTCCTCTTTTATATATGTGTCAGGACCAGTACAACTCCCTGATCCTATTAGGGCGGGGCCCTTTTAAGATCAGGTGGGTTGGGCGGGACATCCTCTGCTACCATCTCATTAAAAGGCCCTTCGCCTCTGGACACATCATCTGCACAACTGACTTCCAAGATCCTTTTTCGACTCCTCCAAATGACCTTGGTTCCTGTGTTGTGCCTGGCTTCCACATGGCTTCTCTCCTGGTCCCTGGTGCTGTTGGGTCCTCTGCTCCCATGCTCATACCTCTTGTTACTCCACTTCCTCCATCATCACCTCTCTCCCCTACCACCCCCAGCCTGGACATGTCTCATGCACAGACTGGAGGACTTCTCCAACCAGTCCTGAGTTCTGTGCCACCCACTCACCTAGAGTCTTGCTACACCCAATTTAATCCATTGGGTTATAGGAGAACTGACATGGGTACTGATAATATATGTGGGTTCCTAATATTCAAAACATTATTCTCAATCAGAGATAGGGATGTCATAGAAGAAAATCATTAAATCATTAATTCATTCATTCACATAACCATTGTGTACCTCCATGAGCTGGACCTAACAGCTAATAAGATAGATACTGTAGCTGGTTTTACAGAGCTAATTGTCCCTGAGAGATGTAGACAAATGAACAGGCAATTACAATACATCTAAGCTATATTGGGGGAAAAATAGGGTTAGCCAGGTGTGTAGAGCAGATAAAGGTTTTTTAATTTCTTGGAATTTTTTAAAAAAATTTATTTGATTTACTTTACCTTGTCATTATTCTCCAAATTACAGCATATTTTTTAAAAAGTTTTGAAGTGAAGTAGAGCTTGAGCAATTTATCCAACACACTTAAACCAAAAATAAAACTTTTATTATATTACCTAGTCATTTCAAACAAAAATATTTTGATCACGAAAATAATAATAACAATGTTCTTCCATTCTAAAAAGTTATTTGCATATCATGCTTTAAATATTCAGCATAGATCCTAAAGAAAAAGCAGTATTTCCATAGAACTAGAGATAGTTTGTGTAGGTGAAGAAAGGGAAGAAAATGAGGAGGAGGAGAAAAGGCAAATGAAAAAAGAATAGGAAAAATATGGGATTCCATGGTTTTTTGTTTGTTGCTTTCTACTGATCAACAGACTACATTTTCAAAACTTTCTTTCCTTTAAGTTTTAGCAGATATACCCAAGATTCATACAATTAAGATTCTAGTAGAACTCTAGATAGTAGGCCTGTGTGTATCTTGCCATTTCCATTTCTACCCTTGTAATGAACATGTTAACACCTACCTCACAGGGTTGTTGTGAGGATGCAGTAAGACATTGTGTGTGTTAAGATGCTCTGTGAAACCATAAAGTGCTTTAAAGATGTAAGCTACGCTCGGCCGTGATCTCTCTCAGCTGGAACAGCTTTTTCTCACTGGCATAATGCAGACATTTTTAATCTGTAATCAGAATAGGAGTGAAAGCAAATTGAAAATGCAAGACGCCGAATAAATGTCATGGCAAAAAGAGAGATGCTAGAAAAAAAGAAGGTTTTATATTAGATAGGACAATGCAAGCGTGACCAGATCACAAATCAATGAGTTTGTCTGAGTCGAACAGAAGAGCGTTAGTTGTAAATAAAAGAAGCGACTGAACAGAGTGCACGCCAGAGGCCAGAAGTTGTTGACAGAGGTCAGAACAAAATGTCAGGCTAATAAAACAAGAGTCCAGTCTCTGAAGGACAAAGCATGAGCCCAAGACACAGCTGATGAGAAAATTCCAAGAAAGTTTGAAACAAGTTAGAGTTGTCAGTGGTACTCTGGTTTTATGCCTGCTTGACATGAAAATCTCCAGGAATAAAAGGGAGAGAAGAATTAGCCATTTGTTCAGATACTCCTGAATATTAGCAAGCTAGCAACATTGAACAGCCAGTTTATACAAATATCTAGAAATAAGTAGTGTCTCTTTGTCCACGCTTTGATTTGATGAGACTTCCTCTCCCTCTTTGCACTGGAGGTCAGGTAGAGTATGAGCAGTTTTCTTCAGCAGACCTTGGTCCACATCAGCCATAGGATGGCCTGGGTCGCAGAGATGCTGGAAGACAATTCCAGGAATTCAGTTAAAAAGTCGTCTGACATCCTAGAGGCTGGGCATAGTATCTCACACCTGTAATGTCAGCACTTTGGGAGGCCGAGGCAGGCGAATGACCTGAGGTCGGGAGTTTGAGATCAGTCTGACCAACATGGAGGAACCCCATCTCTACTAAAAATACAAAATTAACCAGGCATGGTGACACATGCCTGTAATCCCATCTACTTGGGAGGCTGAGACAGGAGAATCACTTGAATCACAGGAGGCGGAGGTTGTAGTGAGTTGACAGTGTGCCGTTACACTCCAGCCTGGGCAACAAGAGTAAAACTCCATCTCAAAAAAAAAAAGAGTCATCTGACATCCTAGACTAAATATAGATACTTTAGTGTGAAAATTAGATAATGCAAACTTTTTAAATTGGGGAAGAAAGGCTTTTCTTCTCTCTAGACAAAAAATAGATGCTGAATGCCCTGTTCAAATTATTAGCACAAGTGGCACAAATTTTATCATTTTTTAAAATGTATAATGAAGAGAAAAGAAGTCTGCACTAAGCTCTGATGCTAGTCATGGTGACTTGTCTGCTGCGTTCTCACCATAACTTGCAAGAGTGATGTTTCAGTCAAGCAAAATGATTCCTACCATAACATATAACACTTGTGTGAGGCTCTGTTCTAAATATCTCAATTACCAATGCGTGGTTTTGTAGTATTTCTCACCATGCTTTGCTCATGCACAATGAGACTACAACTAGGCTGTGAATTTTAGGTATCCTATCTACAACTCATACAACGATACAGAAAAATCAACTCGTTTTTCATTTGATATTTACTGAGGACTCAGCTCAATCTTAAATGAATACTGGTCTTTCTCCAAAGCATTTTTGATCAAAGTAAAGCCTGTGAGGCAAGGGCTTTTTTTTTTTTTTTTTTTTTTTTTTTTTTAAGAGACAGTGTTGCTCTGTTGCACAGGCTGGACTACAGTGGCACCACCATAGCTCACTTCAGCTTTGAACTCCTGGGCTTAAATGATCCTTCCACCTCAGCCTCCGGAGTAGCTAGGACTTCAGGCACACACCACCTTGCCTGGCTATTAAAAAAAAAAAAATTAGAGGTGAAATCTCACTATATTGCCAGGCTGGTCTCAAACTCTTGACCTCAAGTGACCCTCCTGCCTCGACCTCTCAAAATGTTGAGATTACAGGTGTGAACCACCACACCTGACCCAACAGCGTTTCTGATGTAGTATACATATAATCCTCAGAAGAGCGTTTGGGTGAAGGACTATTATCCCAATTTCTAAATTTATAAACTGAGACTTACTGCTTATAAGTGGAAGAACAGAAACTCAAAGACAGGTCTTTAAATCCCTAAAGTCCTTATGACTCCATTCAATACTCCCACACTAGTGTTATGGATTTTTATATATAAACATCACAGATATGTCATGTGGAGGGTGTACAAAGAGAAAGGGAAAGAGAGAAAGAGGAAGAAAAGAAAGAAATCTGTAATGAGCAGTTTGGTTTTCTAGAATGGGCCTAGTAATTTGAAGACCTAAAGAGAGAAAAATTCTTACAGCAGATCAAATTCCAAATAAGCATTCTCAATTATTCTTTATTTGTTTATGTTTCCACCTTCATAACTACTCCAGCTATTGCGTCTAGTCTCCTTCCTAAGGATATTACTCAGAAACATAGTCTTCCTGGAATGCTCACAGAGCTTCCATTATCACTAATGAGAGCTACTTATGAGTGCCAGGGGAAGAGCTACCTGTTAATATTCTATCTTTATTTTGGTAACTGGCTCAGCTATAACATTTTTCACTATTATTTGGATGCTACAATGTCTCTCTCTTTTTATTGTGTCTTTGTTTTTTAACTGCATAATGTACTTTCTTAGTAGCACTAATTATGAGTTAGCAGAACTGAGTATACCTGAGCAGGGATGGTTCCAGGTAATTTAGTTAAATGCTGCTCATCCTTGACAGTTACATGGTGTTTAAAGCTTTCTATAAATTACAAATTAGCAGTGGCTCACACCTATAATCCCAGCACTTTGGGAGGGTAAGGTGGGCGGATCACAAGGTCATGAGATTGAGACCAGCATAGCCAACATGGTGAATCTCTGTTTCTACTAAAAATACAAAAATTAGCTGGGTGTGGTGGTGCCTGTAATCCCGGCTACTCAGGAAGCCAAGGCAGGAGAATCACTTGAACCTGGGAGGCAGAGGTTGCGGTGAGCTGTGATTGCACCACTGCACTCTAGCCTAGCGACAGAGCGAGACTCTATCTCAAAACAAACAAACAAAAAAACTGCAGCATTCCTTTAACACAACAGATGTGTTCCTTAATAGAGTGTTTAGCTAATATAGGCGTACTGTGGAGATACTGTGGGTTTAGTCCCAGACCACAGCAAAAAAAGTGATGATCACGATGAACAACCAGACAAATGTTTTGGTTTCTCAGTGTATACGATAGTTATACTACACTGGAGTCTATTAAGTGTGCCATAGCATTAAGTCTTAAAAATAATGTAGACTCTTTAATTTTAAAATATTTTATTGCTAAAAAATGCTGACAATCATTTGAGCCTTCTGCAAGTTGTAATCTTTTTGCTGGTGGAGGGTCTTGCCTCAGTGTTGATGGCTTTTGACTGATCGGCGTGATGGCTGCTGAAGATTGGGGTGGCTGTGGCAATTTCTTAAAATAAGACCACCGTGAAATACGCCACATCGATTGAGTTTCTGCTCATGAGAGATTTCTCTGCTGCATGTAATGGATGCTGCTTGATAGCACTTACCCACATTAGAATTTTTTACAAAATTAAAATCAGTACTCTCAAACTCTGCTGCTGCTTGATCAACTAAATTTATATAAATATTCTAATATCCTTTGTTGTCATCTCAACAATGTTCACAGCATCTTCCCCTCAGGAGTAGGTTCCATCTCAATAAACCACTTTCTTTGCTCATCCATAATGACAAGCAACCCCTAATCAGCTGAAGTTTTATCATCAGGTTGAATATATTCAGCCACATCCTCAGTCTCCACTTCTAATTCTAGTTCTCTACTTTTCTTATTATTTATACCACATCTGTAGTGACTTTCTCGATTCAATTTTTGAACCCCCCACAGTCATTCATGAGGGCCGGAATCAACTTCGTCCAAATTTCAGTTAACCTCGATACTTTGACCTTCTACCATGAATTATAATTTCTTTTAATGCCATCTAGGATTGTGAATCCTTTCCAAGAGGTTTTCAATTTGCTTTGCCCAGACACATCGGAGGAATCACTTTCTATGGCATCTATAGCCTTGCATTTCTTAAATAATAAGACTCGAAAGTAAAAATTACTCTTTGATCCGTGGTCTTCAGAGTGGATATTCTGTTAGCAGCATGAAAACACCACCAGTCTCCTTGTTCATCTCCATCAGAAATCTTGGGTGAGCAGGTGCACTGTCAATGAGCAGTAATATTTTGAAAGGATTTTTTTTTTAGCAATAAGTCTCAACAGTGGGCTTAAAATATTCAGTAAACCATGCTGTCAGCAGATGTTCTGTCTTCCAGGCCTCAATGTCGTATGTCTACAACACAGGCAGAGTACACTTAGCATAACTCTTAAGGGCCCTAGAATTTTCAGAATAGTAAATGAGCATTTGCTTCAACTTAAAGTCACCAGCTGCATTAGCCCCTAACAAGGGAATTAGCCTATTCTTTAAAGCTTTGAAGTCAGGCATTAACTTCTCCTCTCTAACTATACAAAAGTTATAGATGGCACCTTTTTCAACAGAATCTGTTTCATCTACATTGAAAATCTGTTGTTTAGCGTAGTCACCTTCATCAACTATCCTAACTAGATCTTCTGGACAGTTCTCTGCAGCTTCTGTATCCACACTTGCTGCTTTACCTTGTACTTTTGTGTTATGGAGATGGCTTCTTTCCTTACAGCTTATGAACCGACCTCTGCTAGCTTCCAACTTTTCTCCTGCAGTTTCCTTAACTTTCTCAGCCTTCACAGAATTGAAGAGAGTTAGAGGCTTGCTGTGGACTTGAATTTGCCTTTAGTGAATGTCATGGTTGTTTTGGTCATATATGAAGGCCACTAACTAACACTTTGTACCAGCAATAAGGTGGTTTGTTTCCTTATCATTTTTGTGTTCACTGGAGTAGTGCTTTTAATTGCTTTCAAGGACTTTTTATCACATTTACAACTTAGGTAACTTTCATAGTTTCAGCCTATCTTGACTTTCAACATGTCTTTCTCACTAAGCTTATTTATAGCTTTTGATTCAAAATGAGAGA